CACAATGCATCGTCATAGAATACGTTTTCAGGGGGCAATGCGTTGTCAGGGAAGGTGTCGTCACAATGCGTCATCAGGGGGTAATGCGTCGTCAGGGGGCAATGCGTCGTCAGGGAATGTGTCGTCACAATGCGTCATCAGGGGGCAATGCGTCGTCAGGGGGCAATGCGTTGTCAGGGAATGTGTCGTCACAATGCATCGTCAGGGGGTAATGCGTCGTCAGGGGGCAATGCGTCGTCAGGGACTGTGTCGTCACAATGCGTCGTCAGGCGGTAATTCGTCGTCAGGGAACGTGTCGTCACAATGCGTCGTCAGCGTCAGCGCCAAACGTCAGACCCAAGCTGCAGGCGCCCTGTATATATTATTTACATTTTTAAAATACCACATACTACATACTAGTTTTAACTCTATAAATTTTTATACTGCATACAGTTTACTATCGATTATTTTCTGTTTATTTCATACAATATACAATTTACTAAATACTGTTTACTATTGACTATATGTTATTTACTGTTTTTGTTGTTTCTGTTGTTTAATGCATCACATTTTATTTTTTGTATACTTTATATTCTCTTTAATTTTCTTTTATTTACTGTATACTATTTACTATTTATGATTTACTATCGAGTTTTCACTGTTTATTTTTTACTATTTTTTCGTTTTACTAAACAAAGTATGCTGTATACTTTTTTTTGTTTACTAGTTTTTTTAACTGTATACTATATACTTTAGGGTGTTGCTCTAACACGTTTTTGGCAGGTCTCTTTAGACCATTGTGTACTGTTATTTTTGTCATTTTGCATTGTCTCGTGTACTGCTATGTTTGCTCTCGTGTTCTGTTATTTTTGCTCTCGTGTTCTGTTATTTTTGGGTTTGTGTTCTGTTATTTTTGCTCTCGTGTTCTGTTATTTTTGCGCTCGTGTTGTGTTATTTTTGGGTTTGTTCTGTTACTTTTGGGTCTGTGTTCTGTTATTTTTGCGCTCGTGTTCTGTTATTTTGGGGTTTGTTCTGTTATTTTTGGGTTTGTGTTCTGTTATTTTTGCTCTCGTGTTCTGTTGTTTTTGCGCTCGTGTTGTGTTATTTTTGGGTTTGTTCTGTTACTTTTGGGTCTGTGTTCTGTTATTTTTGCGCTCGTGTTCTGTTATTTTTGGGTTTGTGTTCTGTTATTTTTGCTTTCGTGATCTGTTATTTTTGGGTTCGTGTTCTGTTGGCACACATACAAGTTTTTGTTTGTACAGAAGGTTGCTTTCCAGAACAAATTTAGATTTTTACAGGACAAATGTAGAATTTATACAGAACACATTTCAATTTTTTAACAGAACAAAAGTAATTTTTTAAAACGAACAAATAAACTTTTTACACTACAAATGTATGTCTTATACAGGCCAAATGTGATTATTTTACAATGTGAAATCTTTAGAGAACAAATCTATTTTTTACAGAACAAATGTGAAAATTGTACAGAACAAATGTGAATCTTTACAGAACAAATGTGAAACTTCTACTGAACAAATGTGAATTTTTACAGACCAAATGCGATTTTTTTACAGAACAAATGTGAAATTTGTACAGAACAAATGTGAAATTTTTACAGATCAAATGTGAAATTTTTACAGAACAAATGTGAATTTTTTACAGAACAAATGTGAAAGTTTTACAGAACAAATGTGATTTTTTTACAGAACAAATGTGAATTTTTACAGAACAAATGTGAAATTTTAACATAACAAATGTGATTTTTTGCAGAACAAATGTGATTTTTTACAGGACAAATGTGAATTTCAGATGTTTTCACATTTATTCTGTAATATTTTCACATTTATTCTGTAAAAAATCACATTTGTTATGTAAAAAATTCACATTTGTTCTGTAAAAAAAAATCGCATTTGTTCTGTAAAAAATCACATTTGTTCTGTAAAAATTTCACATTTGTTCTCTTGAAAAAGAAGATTTGTTCTGTAAAACAATACATTTGTTCTGTCAATATCCACATGTGTACTGTCAAAAATCTAGATGTGTTCTGTAACATTTGTTCTGCAAAAAGATTACGTATGTAACCGTATGTATTTACAGAACACGAGGCCCTTTTTTACAGAACACAAGACCCCGTTTTACAGAACACGAGACCCCTTTTTTACAGAACACAAGATCCTTTTTACAGAACACGAGCCCCTTTTTTACAGAACACGAGGCCCTTTTTTACAGAACACGAGGAGGAACCCTCTTTACAGAACACGGGATCCTTTTTTACAGAACACGAGGCCCTTTTTACAGAACACGAAGGCCCTTTTTACAGAACACGGGAACCCGTTTTACAGAACGCGAACCCCCCCAAAGGCTCTAAAGAAAACGTGATAGGGTAACTGCCTAATATATACTATATATGTTTTACTTTATACTGTTCACTTTTTCTTCCATGCTATATATTGTTCAATATTTACACAGTGCTATATCCTGTTCCACTATTTGTTATATACTGTTTACTGTTCAATTTTTCACATTTGTTTACTATGTTTTTGCTATTTTTGCATAACATTTTAACTATATACCCTATATACATTTTTTTAACTATATACTATATAGAATTTAAATTATTTACTATATTTTTTCTGTATACTGTTTGCTATATATATAATTTACTCTATGTTTTTATTTACTTGTTTATTTACTATATATTATCTTCTTTGTTTCCATAATATATATTTTTTACTTTAAACACTATACTATATACTTATATACTTTTTACTACCATTTAATGTCAACGGTTGCCAGGTGCTATGCCCTAAAGAGTTGATTGCACGCATGCTTGGCAAGGGGGGCAACCGCAAGGACCGCAAACGGAGAGAACAAACGATTACAGTACTCACGATTGAGGATGCCATATAGCAACGTTCCTTTTGAGGTCCGGGACCTCAAAAGGTACATCATCATGCACCAGACATGGACGTACTTTTTTGGTCCACTTCTACGGATATTCATGAGGACGTACTTTTTGTGTCCTTGGACTTCCGGGGTATAGTTTTTTATATTTTATGATTGAAGACCCGTTTTTTCTTGTTTGCAATTGCATGGCCGATCATGGCCGCGCATTCTGTTGAGTGTTCCTTTGAATTTGCACATTTGAATCATTTGAGTGTACAGGGCTTGGTTTCAGTGTATTTTATCGAACCCGCATCCGGAAGCATGCGATTGCCTGGCACGACCACGGCATAGCTCTTCTTGACCAATCTTGATTTGAAGCCCCATGAAAAGTCTCTCCTGCCGCACAGGACCAAATTCAAGATGAAACGGGATGCAAGATCATCATCAGCGGGAGGGATGATTATTTTCCTGGAACTCGTTTTCGCGTCCTCGTGATTTTGGGCGAGACTCCCGATGGGATGCTGGGAGTCCTGGACCACCTGATCCCCGACATCACTGACTGCGCCAAGAAAGAGCAACAACCTTCAGGTCGGCTAGGAAAACATAGAAAAACTAAGTTTGACCTGCATGGTGGCACAACCCAGGAAGCGCAAGCCGTCCAAGCAGAAATCACAAACACTGTCAACCACCCATGCAAGTGCATGATATTGTATATATATATATATATAAACTTGACTTCCAATACTTATATTTTGGCTACAAGATTTTTGGGTTGCAAGTGCTAGAAAAAGTTCAAACTCAAATAAACGCTATTAAACGCCCGAATCAAGATCTCAACCCATGTGACTCCGTTGAGTGACCCTGCTTTTGTTTGTTGCGCTTGCGCTCGTTTTGTGGATATCGCGCCCCAATTTGCATTTAAAAAACGCTCGAATTTCTTATGTTTGATTGGCCTGCCCGCAAATGTGTCTAAAACACGCTCGAATTTGAAATTTCCGTTCGCATTTGGAATTTAGGCGCCAAATCCGAAAAAGTGTATCAAACAGGGGGGTGGCATAAATTTAAGTAACATTCGAAGGTCCAGGTATATAATTCATAATACATACCAGTACTACCCGCACGGGGCGGGGCGGAAGTTGCCTTAGGGATATACTATAAAACCTTTGTCATCTATAGAATCTTGCATGCGCCGTGCGCCAAACAGGCCCGTCTGTGCGTGCTTTGCGCCAAGCTGTTGCACGATTGTTGTCCAAGAACATGACCTGCTCACGACCCCAGCGGAATGCAACGCCAAGCAAACACTTTCTTCACACTGCACACTGCAATCTTCACACCCCGCACTTCACACTTAACACTTGCACTTCGCATTCCATACTTCATCTCATCTCATCTGAGCTCTTCTCACCTCGCCTGAGCTTTTTTCATCTCATGTCATCTCTTGTCATATGTCAGCTAAATTCTACTCACCTATTTCCACTTCATCGGAGCACAGCTCAACCTTTCTCATCTCACCGAAGCTAGTCTCAAATCATCTCATCTCTTCTGCACATCAGAAAGGATGGTTGTTGCTCAAGCTCACTTTTCGTTGGTCCACCGTGAGAATGAAATTTAGGGATGTGTCCAGCTTTCAGAAACATCGAGACAGTTTTGCGTACCTGTGAGAATTTCGGAAGGAAAAATGTTAGCAGGAATGGAGCCACAGTTCTGAAAACCACAAGTTTTTGTGAAACAAAGTTGTGAGACAGCTTCTGAGCAAGTATGGACGCGAAACAACCTGACCAAATGTGAGTTCGTTTTGCCCAGGTGTTAGAGTGGTTGTGACAGATTTTTTACCCTGAGATTTTTTCCTCGAGTGATTTATGTTTACCTTGAGAGTTTTTTACATTGAGAGACCTTGAGAGATTTTTAACCTTGAGAGTTGACCTGTATTTAGGTATATATACCGTTGATCTTCAACAAACAATGACACAATGATATTTCACGAAAACATGAAACACTGAAACACATGTATACACATATTTTCCATATTTTCGGAAAGGCCGCCTGTTTCTCTTTTCCAGGCATGGTTCCCCAGCACAGAAGCTTTGAAACAGGGTGCAAGTTTGCAGGTAGCCCAAACACGTCTCACATGTGCCATGGCTGCACCTCGGGGGAAACCGCGCTTAGTCGCTGACCCTTCTATGGGAGTTGGCGACTTGCTTGAGTGCATGGAGACTTGGCTGGACGAACTCAACCACAACAGGTTGTACTCCACGATCAAGCCTCCGGCCCAGACTACGTGGAAGACTGCCCCAGACCCTGGATGGCTTCTTTCTTTGAGTTCCTTATGGTCCAAGTTCCTCCGCTTAGCTCCCAATGGGATGATACCAAGCAAGAAGAACCGACAGAGTCTTGAGAGACTACAAGATGCCCGCAATGTGAACCATGGGAAAATTGAGAAGCAAGCATTCGCAGACCAAATAGATGAATATATGCGAATAGGCTTGGCGCAGCTCCGAGATCTGAAACAAAGTGAGCTTCAGAAGTCCAGGGCCATGAGAAAAGTGACCAGGGAAGAGCAGCAGCAGTTGGAAGAAGTGCTGCCCCTCTTGACTGAGGTTGAGGACGAGCCCCAATGTTCAGCAAGCAGCAGCGCCCAGCCGCAGTCCACAGCTTTGGTTCCAGCCTGTGGAGAACCAGTGCAAGGAAGGGATGACTCACAAGATTCAACAGCAGAAACTGCAGTTTCGAAGGAACCTGAAACTCTGCAGCTCAAGCTGGAAGAGCTCAATCCCTCCGAAATTTTCGCCCGAGTTTTGAAAAGGCCATCCTTGACATCCAGTTCCGGGAGCCCAGTGAAATTTTCTTGCTCAGAACAGAAGAGAATGGTCGATAGCCCAAGTTCTTTCGCTGGATTCCTCACTGGCATGATGGAAATGGGTGCCTATGATGACAAGGACTACCAGTTGCTGCAAGACAGTGACAAGGACTACCAGTTGCTGCAAGACAGTGCAAACCAGGAGCCCATCAACAAGGGCTACTCGAGCCATCTTCAAAGCCAACAAGGCTTTGAAAGCGCAAGAAGGGGAACAGGAAGAAGATGGTGCGGCTGAAAGAAAAATAAAAATGCAACGAAGGGAAAGGGCCGCGGCAAGGGTCAGAAAAAGTTGCCTGCGGCCAAAGGGGAAAAAGGAAAAGTGATGAAGAAGCCTTCGTCTCAGTCGCTGTCCCTGGAGGCGTCTGGCTCCAAGGAAGCCCCAAAGAAGGTCAAGAAAAAGATTGCAAAAAAGAAAAAATTGAAGAAAAAGAGAGGCCTGAAGAGAACCGCCTCTGCTTAGCAACAGTCAGAACCACCAGAACCAGAGGAACCGCCAGCTGAAGAGGATACCTCAGCAGCACCAGCTCCTGAACCTCCAGCCCCCCGTGCTCAGTACCCAAATACACCAGATGGTTTCGATCCACATGTGACCCGTACAGTCAACAGAAAGAGGTATACATCTCGAGCTTGGCATGCAGGCGCTGTGGAAGCTAAGCATCAAGGGTTGGAAGGTGATGCCTACTACGAGAAAGCCAGGGAATTCTCACAAAGGGCTTCTGAAGAGTTTGAAAGGCTCTGGCCCACACCAGCAGACGCTGCACGGGCTGCTGATGTCGACTAGACACACGTGGCTGAGAACGATCATGCGGGGAGAAAAAAACAGGAAAGCGTTTGCACACGCACTTTGTTTTGCACAACTTAGTTTTGGAAACATATGCCAAAGTAGGGGGAAGAGTTTATGGGGAACATGTTGTGGGTAAAATATGACGCAGTGATATGGGATGTAAACAAGAACCCTTCAAACAGTAGGTCAGTCACTCATCGGTAAAAATTGCTCTCAATGCATTTTCTCTCAGTGGTGTGGTTTCTCACAGGTTGATGATCCCTCAAGGTGCTAACAGACATAAACTTGTTCCCGAATGCGTAGCGAAGGGTTCCCGTTTATAGTCTGGGGGTTTGGGGGTTGCACCCTTGTTCGCCCCCAGTTGGTCGGCGCGTCGTTTTTCGCATCGTTAATTCGGTCTCTATAGGGGAAGCTGCAAGACCTCGTGTCTTTTGCTGCGGAGACGTCGCGGTGTCTATAGGGGAAGCTGCAAGACCTCGTGTCTTTTGCTGCGTAGACGTCACCGTGTCTATATGGGAAGCTGCAAGACCTCGTGTCTTTTGCTGCGTAGACGTCGCCGTGTCTATATGGGTTGCTGCAAGACCTCGTGTCTTTTGCTGCGTAGACGTCGCCGTGTCTATAGGGGAAGCTGCAAGACCTCGTGTCTTTTGCTGCGTAGACGTCACCGTGTCTATAGGGGAAGCTGCAACACCTCGTGTCTTTTGCTGGGCCGACGTCGCCGTGTCTATAGGGGAAGCTGCAAGACCTCGTGTCTTTTGCTGCGTAGACGTCGCCGTGTCTATATGGGTTGCTGCAAGACCTCGTGTCTTTTGCTGCGGAGACGTCGCCGTGTCTATATGGGAAGCTGCAAGACCTCGTGTCTTTTGCTGCGTAGACGTCGCCGTGTCTATATGGGTTGCTGCAAGACCTCGTGTCTTTTGCTGCGGAGACGTCGCGGTGTCTATAGGGGAAGCTGCAAGACCTCGTGTCTTTTGCTGCGTAGACGTCGCCGTGTCTATATGGGAAGCTGCAACACCTCGTGTCTTTTGCTGCGTAGACGTCGCCGTGTCTATATGGGTTGCTGCAAGACCTCGTGTCTTTTGCTGCGTAGACGTCGCGGTGTCTATATGGGTTGCTGCAAGATCTCGTGTCTTTTGTTGCGGAGACGTCGCCGTGTCTATAGGGGAAGCTGCAAGACCTCGTGTCTTTTGCTGCGTAGACGTCGCCGTGTCTATAGGGGAAGCTGCAAGACCTCGTGTCTTTTGCTGCGTAGACGTCGCCGTGTCTATAGGGGAAGCTGCAACACCTCGTGTCTTTTGTTGCGGAGACGTCGCCGTGTCTATAGGGGTTGCTGCAAGACCTCGTGTCTTTTGCTGCCGAGACGTCGCCGTGTCTATAGGGGAAGCTGCAACACCTCGTGTCTTTTGTTGCGGAGACGTCGCCGTGTCTATATGGGAAGCTGCAAGACCTCGTGTCTTTTGCTGCGTAGACGTCGCCGTGTCTATATGGGTTGCTGCAAGACCTCGTGTCTTTTGCTGCGTAGACGTCGCCGTGTCTATAGGGGAAGCTGCAACACCTCGTGTCTTTTGCTGCGGAGACGTCGCCGTGTCTATAGGGGAAGCTGCAACACCTCGTGTCTTTTGTTGCAGAGACGTCGCCGTGTCTATAGGGGAAGCTGCAAGACCTCGTGTCTTTTGCTGCGTAGACGTCGCCGTGTCTATAGGGGTTGCTGCAAGACCTCGTGTCTGGGAATGACTTTATGTAAGTTTTGTAGCATACGGTAGTACTGCAACGTGTTTACGCGAGTTTTGTAATATACGGTAGTACTGGAACGTGTTTGTGCGAGTTTTGTAATATACGGTAGTACTGGAACGTGTTTGTGCGAGTTTTGTAGTATGCGGTAGTACTGGGAATGACTTTGTGTAAGTTTTGTAGTATACGGTAGTTCTGGAACGTGTTTGTGCGAGTTTTGTAGTATACGGTAGTTCTGGAACGTTTTTGTGCGAGTTTTGTAGTATACGGTAGTACTGGAACGTGTTTGTGCAAGCTTTGTGGTATACGGTAGTACTGGAACGTGTTTCTGCAAGCTTTCTAGGATACGGTAGTATTGGAACGTGTTTGTGCAAGCTTTGTAGTATACAGTAGTACTGGAACGTGTTTCTGCAAGCTTTGTAGTATACGGCAGTACTGGAACGTGTTTGTGCAAGCTTTGTAGTATACGGGAGTACTGGAATGTGTTTTTGCAAGCTTTGTAGTATACGGTAGTACTGGAAAGTGTTTGTGCAAGCTTTGTAGTATACCGTAGTACTGGAACGTGTTTGTGCAAGCTTTGTAGTACACAGTAGTACTGGGAGCGACTTTGTGCAAGCTTTGTAGTACAAAGTAGTACTGGGAAGTGCTTCGTGCAAGCTTTGTAGTACAAAGTAATACTGGGAAGTAGTTTGTTCGAGCTTTGTAGTACAAAGTAGTACTGGGAAGTACTTTGTGCAAGCTTTGTAGTACAAAGTAGTACTGGGAAGTACTTTGTGCGAGCTTTGTAGTACAAAGTAGTACTGGGAAGTAGTTTGTGCAAGCTTTGTAGTACAACGTAGTACTGGGAAGTACTTTCTGCAAGCTTTGTAGCGCAACGTAGTACTGGGAAGTAGTTTGTGCAAGCTTTGTAGTACAAAGTAGTACTGGGAAGTGCTTTGTGCAAGCTTTCAAGTACAAAGTAGTACTTACTGGAAATGTTTTGTGCAAACTTTGTGTAAATTAAGGAGTGTGGAGTGTAAAGTGTGGAGTGGGGAGTGTAGAGTGTGTAAAGTGTAGAGTGTGGAGTGTGGAGTGTAAAAGTGTAGAGTGTAAAGTGTGGAGTGTAAAGTGTGGAGTGTGGAGTGCGGAGTGTAGTGTGTGGAGTGAGGAGTGTGGAGTGTGCAGTGGGTAAAGTGTGGAGTGTGGATTGTAAAGTGTGGAGTGAAGAGTGTAAAGTGCAAAGTGTGGAGTGTAAAGTGTGGAGTGTGGAGTGAGGAGTGTAAAGTGGAAAGCGTGGAGTGTTAAGTGTAAAGTGTGGCGTGTAGAGTGTAAAGGGTACAGTGTAAAGTGTGGAGTGTAAAGTGTGGAGTGAGGAGTGTATAAAGTGCAAACTGTAATGTGTGGAGTTTAAAGTGTTGAGTGTGGAGTGAGGAGTGTAAAGTGCGGAGTGTGGAGTGTAAAATGTAGAGTGTGGAGTGTGAAGTGGAAAGTTTCGAGCGTGGAGTGTAGTGTAGAGTGTAAAGTGTAGAGTGTGGAGTGTAAAGTGCGGAGTGTGGAGTGTAAAGTGCGGGGTGTGGAGTGTAAAGTGTAGAGTGTGGAGTGTGAAGTGGAAAGTGTCGAGTGTAGAGTGTAAAGTGCGGAGTGTAAAGTGTAGAGTGTGGATTGTGGAGTGTAGAGTGTAGAGTGTGGAGTTTGCAGTGGGTAAAGTGGGGAGTGTGGCAGGTGGTGGTGATCTCGGTGTGCTGGTGATGTTGTTGCGCTGGTTAGTCGTCTCTTTGTGAATTTTTGCCCAGGTGCCTTCGCTGAGACGATATGAGCGCACGATGCATGCAAAAAAAGGTTCGTTTTCCTATCGCAGAGGTTCGCACTCGTAGTCTAAGAACGTGAATACATTCGGGTTCGTGGCTTCCATCTTATTTTTTTATGCGTTTGTTTTGTGAGAATGTGCTCAAACTGTATTTTCATGAACCAGCTTTTTGGCCGCAGCGTGTGTTCTCAGTTCTTTTGGCATGCATGTGCTCAAACCAACGTTTTGTTCAGGGATACCTAACTTGGGCCTTACACCGAAACTGTTTTTGAGGAGAAGAATTGAATATGGTTTTTTCCCGAGAGCGTCTGAGCGCAGGGTTCTTCCAATAGTGGGGGTCTGTATCTCATCTTCTCATCTTCACACCTTCTCTCACACCTTCTCATTTTCACATCTGCTCATCTTCACATCTTCTCTCACATCTGCTCATCTTCAGATCTGCTCATCTTTATATCTTCTCTCACATCTGCTCATCTTCACATCTGCTCATCTTCACATCTGCTCATCTTCACATCTGCTCTCACATCTTCTCTCACATCTGCTCATCTTCACATCTTCTCTCACATCTGTTCATCTTCACATCTGCTCATCTTCACATCTGCTCATCTTCACATCTGCTCATCCTCACACCTTCTCTCACATCTTCTCATCTTCACATCCTCTCTCCTTTCTCTCTCCCTTTTCTCTCTCTCGCCTTCTTTATCTTTCTCTCTTTAGGCCGAGGGTGGTGCCGGCGGGGAGTCACGAAACGTCAACCCTTTCGCACGAAATGAGGGTCGATCGGCAAAAACTGAGGAAAAATTGCGATTTTACTTGTCCCGGAGCAACCCTTTCGCACGAAATGAGGGTCGATCAGCAAAAACTGAGGTAAAATTGCGACTTTACTTGTGCCGGACGTGTCTGTGTGTAAAAGCGTCTGTGTGTAAAAGCGTCTGGGTATAAGAGTCTCTGTGTATAAGAGTCTCTGTGTGTAAAAGTGTTTGTGTGTAAAAGTGTTTGTGTGTAAAAGCTTCTGTGTGTAAAAGCTTCTGTGTGTAAAAGCGTCTGTGTGCAAAAGCGTCTGTGTAAAAGCGTCTGTGTGTAAACGCGTCTGTGTGTAAAAGCGTCTGTGTGTAAAAGCGTCTGTGTGTAAAAGCGTCTGTGTGTAAAAGCGTCTGTGTGTAAAAGCGTCTGGTGTGTAAAAGTGTTTGTGTGTAAAAGTGTTTGTGTGTAAAAGCCTCTGTGTGTAAAAGCGTCTGTGTGTAAAAGTGTCTGTGTGCAAAAGCTTCTGCGTGAAAAAGTGTTTCTGTGTAAACGGGTTTGTGTGTGAGTGTGTTTCTGTGTAAAGATGTTTGTATGTAAAAGTGTTTGTGTGGAAAAGTGCATCTGTGTAAAAGGATTTGTGTGTAAAAGCTTTTGTGTGTAAAAGTGTCTGTGTGTAAAAGGGTTTGTGTGTAAACGGGTTTGTGTGTAAGAGTGTTTCTGTGTAAAGATGTTTGTGTGTAAAAGTGTTTGTGTGTAAAAGTCAATCTGTGTAAAAGTGTCTGTGTGTAAAGGCTTCTGTGTGTAAAAGTGTTTCTGTGTAAACGGGTTTGTGTGTAAGTGTGTTTCTGTGTAAAGATGTTTGTATGTAAAAGTGTTTGTGTGTAAAAGTGTATCTGTGTAAAAGGATTTGTGTGTAAAAGCTTTTGTGTGTAAAAGTGTCTGTGTGTAAAAAGGTTTGTGTGTTAAAGCGTCTCTGTGTAAAATGGTGTGAGTGCAGAAGGGTTTTTGTGTAAAAAAGGTGTTTCTGTGTGACAGCGGCAATGTGTGTGTCAAAGCGGCTTTGCTTACAAGTTTTGTTTTCTTGCCTTGTTGATTGCTTGGCATGTTTGTTTTCCGGTCACCCCTGTCATGTTTAGGTCTTGCTTGCCAGTTTTGAGCAATGTTGACTTGTTTGCTTGGCATGTTTCGTCGGCATGCTTAATTTTACCTCCAAAGTGATATAAATGGATTCATGAGGTTACATTGTGATTCGGTAATCGTGGGGTTGTGGAGTTTGTGGGTGACACTTTAGCATCACATTTCTTTGCTGAGGTTGGCATGAACATTTTTTGTTTGTCACCCGAACTGTCCGAGCAGACATGACTGTCAGCATTTCCAGAGCTTCTTTTCGTGGCTGTGCCGCTTGTCCTCGGAGATTTTGGAGGCCTGCTGCATGTTTTCATCAGTGCATGGCAGTCATTCGATGTTTTGCAGCTAGTTTTTGGTTGCCCGTCTTCGGAGTGAGATATATATAGAGCAAGTTTATTTGCATGATAGTATGATCTTGAAATTTTCAATTGCAAGCCTGCGTTCTGTTTGTTCGTCAAAGCATGAAGCTGGTCAGCGCAGCCTTTGGTTCGAGATTCGGATCTCGCTTGGGCTTTATAAGTTGTTTCTCTTGGTTCGTTTCAACCGGACATGTCCGGTTGAAACGAACCAAGAGAAACAACAAGGCTTGAAAGAGGGGGGAGTTGATCCCTTCCGGCGACAGGTGCGCAAACTCGGGATCAATGCATTGAAGGCTTTAGCCGGTTTCTTTGGGTGGCACCACAGAAGATGTTCGTTTGGATTCAGTCGGAGAAGTTGTGTGGATAGTTGTTTTTGGGGGATGCTCTGATAGTTCTCTGCACAGGAATCTGGAACCAGTGGCGTGGCCTCGCCGTCAAGTTTGTCGCGCCGCTCGGATGTGTCCGAGGCGGGGGATGATGAGCACCCGCTGCCCAACAAGTAAAAGCAAAGTTGAATTGTAGTGTAGATGCGTGTTGTCGACCTTTGTGTTGTTTTGGCTTGCAACAAAGCGCGTTTCACCAGCATGTAGAAGTGGATCTCATGAAACCACATGTTACTTGAAGTGCCCGCGCACAATGCGGGTTGGAAGCCTATGCGGCGGCAGGACCGTGGAGATGTGGGCGGTCGTATTTCGTTGCAGGTGTTTTGGAGGCCTGCTGCATGTTGTCAGCAGTGCGTGGCAGTCATTCGATGTTTTGCAGCTAGTTTTTGGTTGCCCGTCTTCGGAGTGAGATATATAGTCCGTGAATGCTTTGCAGATCCGCATGGTTGGTCTATGTAGCTAGGTTTGCATCGAGTCAGGGCCAAGGGATGGGATGGATTACATGGATAGGCTGTTACCACAAAGAGACAAATCGATATATTATATATTGATATAGAAATAGAGATATGAGATAGACATGGATGTATGAGTGTTAATATATGAGATGGATGTATGAGTGTTAAGATAAGAGTTTCAATTCAAGTCACAGTCAGGAGGCAGGACCCTAAACCCAAAAAGAACATGGACAGGAGCGCAAGGGCCATCCCATTATATCCCAGAAACGTTCGCCGCCTGCCAGGTCCGCCCGTTTATCCTTTTTGGGGGAGATGGCAAACCACCTTGGTTGGGGGGCCCCAAAGCACACAGCCCTCATGACATGTTTATACATGCTGGTTTCGAGTCACGTCATTTCCTTTTTTGTTCCGGTTCACATGGAAATTGGACTTCACCACACCACCCCATCGACACATGCACGCACGATCTAAGGTATACGTGTCCAGGCTCCTCCTCAGGTCTTATGACTTTCAATGGAAGTGATGGTGTACCATGGCCTTGCCATCAGCCATGGTACATCTATTGTCACTGACTTCCCAATACATGGTACAAACTTCACCCCTCCGTCGAATTGCTGAGGTGGACACGACAACAATGACTTCACTGTGACTGCGTAAACATGGGCCGGCCTGTGTGTAAAAGCGTCTGTGTCTAAAAGCGTCTGTATGTAAAAGTGATTGTGTGTAAAAGCGCTTGTGTGTAAAACCGTTTGTGTGTAAAAGCGTTTGTGTGTCAAAGCCTCTGTGTGTAAAAGCGTCTGCGTGTAAAAGCTTCTGCGTGTAAAAGCGTCTATGTGTAAAACAGTTTGTGTGTAAAAGTGTTTGTATGTAAAAGTGTTTGTGTGTAAAAGTGGCAGTGTGTCAAAGCGTCCATGTGTAAAAGCTTCTGTGTGACTGTGTGTAACAGCGTCTGTGTGTAAAAGCTTCTGTGTGTAAAAGCTTCTGTGTGTAAAAGCGTCTGTGTGTAAAAGTGTTTGTGTGTAAAAGTGTTTGTGTGTAAAAGCTTCTGTGTGTAAAAGCTTCTGTGTGTAAAAGCGTCTGTGTAAAAGCTTCTGTGGGTAAAAGCTTTGTGTGTAAAAGTGTCTGTGTAAAAGCGTCTGTGTGTGAAAGTGTCTGTCTGTAAAAGCTTCTGTGTGTGAAAGCTTCTGTGTGTGAAAGCTTGTGTGTGTAAAAGTGTTTGCGATGCAAACTATTGTCTTGCACTTCTGCTATTTTGTCTTAATATATAATTTCTAATATGGTGTCTCCATACTAACAAGAGAAGACCCTGCTCCTCTACGCTCTCGGGCAATCCGTCGTCTAGTTGTTTTGACCATATGTCCTCACCACATGGCGTCGCCAACACCGATCGCTTGTGCCTGCATAAACTCAGCTTTGGAGTCTCTAAGGCAACCATCGCCCAGGAACTGGTCAACTGTGGATTTGACTACGTGACAGAAGATGACGTGAACGTCGTCAGGAAAGGCATGTGCCACAAAGAGAAGCTTTGCACTGCCTTTGTAACAATGGCAAGTGCTGCTCATGTACAACTGGGCATCCAGCTACTTCATGGCAGACTGGTTCCATCATGCTCCTGGAAAGCTCTACGTGCTGAAACAGCACTAGCAAGGCTCAATACTTTGAAATGCAACTCTGGGACTTCTTCTTCCGCTGCACCCGAGCCTCCCGCTCCCAGTGAAGGACAAGCTGCTGGGCACCATCTTATGCATGTGAAAAAGGAAGAATCCCAGCTTGAGAATGCCTTCTTGAATGAACTTCGAGTTTACAGTGAGGAGCCCAAGAAAAAGAAGGACAAGAAGAGCAAGGACAAGGGTTCCAAGGACTTGGAAGTTTCTGGCACTCCATGGGAAAGAAGGCTCAAACAGAGAAAGGCAGATCCGGACTTCTGATCGCAGGGTGGCCAAAAAAGGCGCCGCCTGAGCTGCACTTCAACTGTTGTGAATTTCACACTGACAGTTGCGAAGGTTTTATCATTGTGTGTACCTGTGCTGATTTACGTTTTTTTCCCCATGTGCATGTCTATGTTCACTGCTGTCTTTCAAACCTGCGATACCCTGAGAGATGTACCTTGAGAGATTTACCACGAGAGATTTGCCTTACCATGAGAGATTTACCACGAGAGATTTACCACGAGAGATTTGCCTTACCTTGAGAGATTTACCTTGAGAGTATGTATATAAATATTTATATATATATATATAAGTTGTTTTAAGTTGTAATTTTCCTGGTGGTTTGCCACCTCAAAAAAAGGCCCCCACAAGTCTACTTCGAATAGCATATTTCCTATAGTTTTCCTACATATTTGTTGGGTTTGTGGGGGCATTTTTTGGGGGTGCCAAGCCAACCGGAAAATGGCTAGTTTTAAGCATGGCCCCACATGTCAAAATGTGTTTGTCGTATCATGTAGCTTTTTGGTTCCAAAACTTATTGGATACTTTTTTCATACCTAGCACGATGTCTTGGGCTGCTTTCGACGTGGATGGAGAGGGCAACCTTGAAGTGAATGCCACTGGTGGCCGACCTCCGTCGTTGGGAACGATCCTGATCATGCAGCAGGTTCAAAAGGTTTTAGTTCAGAAAGAAACTGAAGATGCCATGGAGGCCGAGTCAAGCCATTCTCTGACCACCCAGGACACCACCAACAAGAACGAAGAGAAGCTTGGCAGCGCAACTTCCCCACGTCCTCCTCGAGCGCTGGCACTACCTTGACTGCATCGACTTCCAGTGCTGGCATGACCTTGCCTACTGAGATGCAGGCAAAGCCATCGCCCAAGAAGTCATCGAAGAAGTCCAAGAAAGGTAAGGGAAAGAAATGATCAAGTCAAACTGATCGCACTTCAGCTTTGATCAGACCCTACCGTTTTTTCCAATACAATTTAAACAGATTTTGATCTGTGTTACCGCTGAGAGAGAAAAAGTATGTTATGTCATGTGGAAGTTTGGAGGAAATTTCCTTGAAACTTCCATGGTCTATGTGGCAGTTTGTGAGGAAGTTTCAAGATGTTCCGAGGAAGTTTCGTATAGAAACTGTGCATATTACCTGCATTTCATTGAAGTATATTTGCAAACTTCCTCACTTCTGGTTTGAAACTACATTCAAACTACATACAAACTGCCGCCAAACTGCTTCAAATCAACCAAGGAAGTTTCAAGGAAATTTCCTCCAAACTTCCTCACCGACACTGAAGCCAACATATTGCTCTTCAAGAATGTGTTTATCAAAGATACATCAGTGCACTTTTTTTTGTTTTGTTGTTTCATGTGTGTGGACGTTGTGAAAATCATTTTGCATGTGCTTGAGAGTTACCAGAGACACATACCATGCCACTGCTTGGCATTACCGGAGCCTTTTCACCAAACTTAAAGCTTGAAGTTTTACCTGTGCCAGTGTCCTCATGGCTATGAGGAGACCTTCTGCCAGTCTGAAGCGTCCTGCGTCTTCGATCAATGAGGCTATCACCAAGATGCAGAGGGGAATCTCCAAAGCTGTTGAAAATGGAGCTGATGAGATCTCCGAGGATCAAGGCAGAGACAAGGCCAAGGGCCAAAAGTTCACCAAAATGAGAAGCTTTCTCCCTGACCACGTTCTGGATTTGTTCAAACGAGAGTCAACGAAAGCTAGCTCGCCCCGCCAGTACAAGACCATGATCATCAACAAGCTTTTCGTCAGGGATGCTTCAGGGAAGTTGGTTCTCAACTTGGAGGACGAGCTCTTCCAGGAGCATAAGAAAATTTACTCCAAAAAGTTTGCCCGCGAGGAGGAGTCCGCCATGCCCGAATTGGTTATGCGTGGTTTGTATTTCGCAAACAGTGAGTCTGCGATGGAGGAAGCAAAGAAACGTGGTGAAATCATTCCTGTCGACTGTGGCAACGACAAGGTTTATTAGGCTTTCACCACCTTCTCCAAGGGAGTTGAGACCGGACGACAAGAAGAGCAATCCCTTTTCAGCAAGAAAAAAGTCAGCAAGGAGCATGCCAAATTGCTGGCGGAAGCCTTCAAGCATGCTTCCTGGTCGTGGAAGTATCAGGACGGTGACGTTGCCAAGCTGGCGGACGGCCAGATCCCACCTGCAATCTTGAAGCTTGTGACCCAGGCCACGGAGTCGCAGCAAAATCTTGCAAAGGAGGCCAAGACCATCATCAAGAATTGGAAGGGCACCAAAAGTGATGAGAGGCTGGCTAAGCTCAAGAAGGGCCATGCCGCTTGCGACTCCAATCTGGCAAAGTTGACGCACATGAAGGAGTTCCATGAGTTGCCAGATGACATGGAGCCCACGAAGTCCAATTGGACAAGATCATGATGGCAATGGCCACGCACACCAAGGAGTACAACGAGCTGATGGGGACTTGTCGTGGCGTCCTTCGTTCTTTGAAGAACTGATGCCAAAGGCATTCAATTCAGCTTTACTGGGAGCACAGGGTAAACCTTGTGCACAAGTTGGCCATTTTTGGGCCATACTTAAAGTTTTGAGTTGTTGAAAAGATCTCTGATGGATCTTTGCCCGTGTGAGAAATCATCTGGACAAGAAGGCTATCGACATTGAAAAAAACGTCGCCTCACTTGTGCTGGATCGAATCCCTGGACCCGAACTTCTTTTTGAAAGTATGTGGAAGGATTCACTTGGGTTGCATCTGGTGCTGGTTTCTTAAATGCCATTTCCCTATTCATTACCGCCATGTCCAGAAAGGGGATTGGGGAAGCACTCTCACGGTAGGGGAAACTCTCATGGTAAACACCCTCATGGTATTGGGAAGTACTCTCTCATGGTAAACTCTCACGGTATTGGGGAAACTCATATGCTAGACTATCTCTGGTCCAAAAAGAAACTGTCCCTTCATTTTTCCCAGTTAATGTTGCATGCATGTGTTGTTGTGGTTTCATGTGATTTCATGCGTGTTTTGTTTTCACATATCCTAAATCCTAACCCATGTGATATAGTTTTGTGTTTAGTGTTTTCAAACTACCTTGAGAGATACCTTTAAGAGAAACCTTTGAGAGATACCTGTGAGAGAAACCTTTGAGAGATACCTGTGAGAGAAACCTTTGAGAGAAACCTTTGGGGGTGATACCTTCATAGATGATCTGCGTAGAAGGTCTCTTCACCAAAGCGGCTTCTGTGTCACTGCGTGTCCGTGGCCTCTGGCCTATAAACAGCTATAGCTGGTTAAACAGGCCAAGCCAAAGAAACACAATGAGCAGGTTTGTTTTTGTTGCTAAATCTAAGTTCAAAATTTTCCGGTGTGAGCCACCAAGATCTTAGAGGGAAACCGTGGGGCCAAATTTATTCACTAAATCCGAAACCATCAACTACCATGGGGAAGTGGAAGTGGAAACGATGCTATGATCTAATATTGACCAACTTCAAGACACAATATACAGCCATGAAAGAATTGCAGCGTTTTATATAAACAAGCAACCGCACATTTTTGGCTAACCAAACACCAAGTATCAGAAACCAATGATATTTAGTCATTTTTGGAACAACACAAGACCAGCACAACATAGTTCAATTTCGATTCCCTGTTGCAATGAGGCACGCTCGGTCACGGACTCGTTCAGATAAAGGTGGAGCGCGACAGCGTCTCAAAGCATATGCTAGAGAGAGGGATGGACATGTCCAAAGCACCTCAGCGTTGGCCAGGTTACTTTTGTCTTTGTTCAGTTGGGGCGAGATGTCTCCCCAACTTGTCCAAAAAAATGCAAGCGCAGCCTTCGAAGATGCCCAGGCCTTGGCGGCAGGCCAACTTTACAGGATCTTGAAAAGATCGCCTCGATTGGTTCTGCTGGGAGATATCCCAACAAATGCTATTTTGACCTCCTGCATGCACTGCCTTTCAAAGTTTCCATACCAATGGCAACCTCATGCAAGCTGACCTTCAAAGAAAGCTTGGGTGATTTGACTCAACATGTCCTGTTGCCACATGAACTGTTTGCGGCTTTGTTTCATTCCTGCCCTTCGATCTGGCGCAAATCCAACATGCCAGATGTGGAAAGACTGGAGCGATTCTGGCAGTTGAACCGTGATCACCCTGCTTTTCAAGATTGAGAGATCCGACACATCAGGGGCTACAACCGATTGGTCATTCCATTATCCATGCACGGCGATGGGGTACCAATCACTGGAGTTGGCAAATCGTGGTGTCAGCAGATGACGACCTTTTCGTGGAGCTCACCCTCAAGATCAGGTTAGGTTAAAAAGTTGCTTTTATGCTAACCTGATTAGGTTAATTTCGCCTAATTAGGTTGTTTTATAGGTTATGAAAAGGGTGTTTTAGGTTAGGTTATTTTTTAGGTTAATCATACAATAACCTACAATCCGTCAGGTTATTTTTCTATATAACCTGTTTTAGGTTTTTGTATCAATAACCTCCAATGTTTTAGGTTATTCATTTAAATAATCTAATTTTCTTACAGGTTAAATGAGGCGTTATTCTAAAAAATGTCTGCTAATCGTAGCGTTTGCAAAACGTTTTTACAAATAACATGTGTGAAACTTCATTGGATTGCTTCCTGAGATTTTCCCGTGAACTTTCACTTGTGAATGCTGGCGCGCAACAGTTCCCAAATTTCACTTGACCACACACAACTTCGGTTCTGTTGCTCAACTACTTTTTTCAGGTGTTTGATGAATCATTAAAACCGAACTTACCACACCACCTTGGAACCTTCATTTGAACTGGTGCCCTGAAATATTTTTCAGCTTGAATTTGAATTCCCACTTAAAACCTTCACCTGATCTCTACGTGTCATGATTTGATTGGAGTTTTCACTTGGGTATTCACTTGACATTTCCAGCTTAATCCCAATGGACATGCAATTGATTGAGCCTTTCAGGTCATTTCTTAAATAAACTAAATGATAGTTTTACGGTTTGAACTGAACACTTCTTTGGTATCATGATTCATCTGCAGCATCAATGGGTCAAGAGACCCAGCTAGGTTTTTTACACCATTGAAAACAGCCAAAAGGTATTTGCCCAGCTCACCTGTTTGGAAAATGCCGCCTCTCTTTAGTATTTATTGTGGTTTCTTGGTTTGCATACAGCCACCTCTTGCCTTTCACTGGGTTTCGTGTCACTTGTGCTCCTGCTTTCAAATAGCTTTCCGCTTGCGCCTTTTGACTTCTTTCTTCATTTGTTTCCTCCTGACTCCACTTGTTTCTCATCAGGTCAAGACATGTTTCTTCGCTTCGCATATGTAAACCTTGGCATTATTCAACATATTGAGACTAAACACTTGCACGTGTTATGTTTTTCTACTAATAAGGTTTCTTTTAATAAAAATAGACTAAAGAAGTTTCAGGTTGTTTGAGGTTTTTTTGTGAGTCCGCATGTGTTTTTTTGTAAATGAATCAAAGTGAGGAGTGTGAAGGAAAGGTTTGCAGGTGTACATCCTCCATATGTGGTTGCCAGGGGGAGCAAGCTGCTGGATGCCGCATTCCAAAATTGTGGGTTTTCTGACTTGAAGAAAAGGTAGCGCAGGTTCAAGGGCGAAAATTGTCAAGGGCTTTGATTTTTTAAGCAGCGCATCCCCCAACACTCTTGAAAATCGGGAGCTTCTTGTTGATTTTTTAAAATCTGAAGATTTCTGGGCTATGAATACGCATTTCCAAAAACATCCCAAAAGCCTTTGTACATATTCGGAAGTTTCGAACACTACTGGCGGACCTCCCTGGGATGCAACTAGATATGCCCAAATTGATTATAGCCTTGCACCGTCGCGATGGAAAAATAGTGTTCAAAATGTGGAGGCATTTCCTGATGCACAGACAGATTCTGACCATTTCCTAGTTGTCACTTCATTATTAGTCAAGCTTAAAGCTAACAAAAAATTGCCTGGAAATACTCGCTTTAAGTTCAAGAATCCATCGCCCGAACAAATTTTGCATTTTAATTCGGCAATCTCGAGAGATTGCAGATCTTTGTCCGACAGTGGTGAAGATCCTTCAGTTTGGCTGCGTGAGTTCAATAGCAACATTTTGACTTCTGCGAGAGAGTCTTTTTCACATTTGCCTCGCCAACAGCGAAAATCATATCTTTCAGACGAAACGTGGCGTTTGATCGAACTCAAGCGCCAATACCGTATCATAGGAGATAAGCAGGCTGAAATCGAAACAAGGAAGCTGGTGCGGCGTTCCGCAAGGAAAGATAAAGTGACCCACTTGGTTAATTCTTTTGAGAACGCACAGCACGTCGAAGACAGATGGAAGTCCATTAGGTCAGCCAGAAAGAAATTTGTTCCCCGCTTTGTCCGTTTCAAAAACCGTCATGGTGAATATATTGATTTTTCCGAAAAGGCTTCAGCGACTGCCGATTACCTTGCCAATGTGCAATGGTCCCGCCCGGAGCCTTGTCCTTCTAAGATCAACCCCCGACCTATTATTTTTGATGATCTCAACCTTGACGATTCAGATTTTTCTTTGGGGGAGCTTAAGTCTGTTTTGGCTAAGTCTAAGCAAAACAAGGCTCCTGGCCCCGATGATATCACTGCAGACATGCTGAAGTTGTTCAACGATGAAGACTTACAATTTGTGTTAGATATCGTTAATCATTGTTGGAACACGTCCGTTCTCCCATCCGATCTTGAGCTCGCTAGTGTCACTTCTATTTTTAAAAAGGGTAACCCTGCACTTTTGCATAATTATAGGCCAATCAGTCTCCTCAGTATATTCTACAAGCTTTTTGCTGCCTTAGTCTTACACAGACTTCGCCCAAAGATTGATCCTTATGTCTGGAAAACCCAATTTGGATTTAGGAGAGCGCACAGTACGCAACAAGCTGTTTTCTTGGCAAGACGGGCGCAGGACCAAGCCGAGAGGAGTGGAACCAATTTAATATTTACTCTATTGGATTTCGAAAAAGCTTTTGACCGTGTTGATCAGCCCAAATTACTGGAAGCCCTTCGTAGGTTAAACATTTCTGGGAAAACGCTTGGCGCCATTCAAGCTATGTACAGGAATCCGCGCTTCTTTGTCAAAGATATGCAGGGCAAGTCAGTTGTTCATACACAGGGCAGTGGAATTAGACAAGGTTGTCCGTTAAGCCCTTTTCTTTTTATATTATTGATGACTGTCTTGTTCCATGATGTTTATGATGTGATTGGAGTTGAATTGTTGAACAACCGGCTGCCTCATATCAGGTATAGCGACATTCTGTACGCTGACGACACTCTTTTGATCACTACCGGTTCTCACCTCACTCATCGGTTTCTTTCTTTGATTGAGAAGGAGTCAGCGTATTATAATTTGAAATTCAACCATTCAAAATGTCAAGTGCTTTGCATGAACGGTAACAAGCAAATTTCTTTCCAAAATGGAGAACGCCTTGAGAATGTAAATCATGCTAAATTTTTGGGTTGTCTACTATCGAAGTATGCATGTGTTTCTACGGAGATTAGCGGGAGGATCGCTTCGGCCATGGATGCCGTGACCTCACTCAAAAAATTCTGGACTTGCAACTGTCCAATCGCCTGGAAACTCGCAGTGTATGAGTCTATCGTTGATTCGAGATTAACATACGGGCTAGAAACTCTTCAGCTCAATGCCAACCATCTTAAAAGGCTAGATGCATTTCAACAAAAAGGTTTACGTAGAATTCTGAAGATTCCACCAACTTTCGTAAACAGAACATGGACCAATGCCAGGGTACTAGAGGCAGCTTCCTTTCACCGTCCGCAAAGGACAGTCAGCGCAGTCTTGGAAGCAAGGAAATTGAAATTGATTGGCCACCTTCTTAGGTTCCACGGCAATGATGTCATGAGATGTTCGGTTATTTCGTCAAATTATTGTTTAGCGACACCACCCCATCGACGACAAGGTAGACCTAGGCACAATTGGTCGTACATTGCTTTGAAGGCTGCGTGGGCTAGTTTTGGCAACCCTGCTGTTTTCAAAGCAGACCTTGACCAAATTAATTTTTTGCACACGCAAGCAGTGCAGAGGCAAGGGGTTTTTGGATAAGGCCAGAGCGCCTTTCGCTTCTATATCGCTTCTATTTAGTAGATTCTCCAATTGAGTTTGCGACGGAGATCACACCTTGACGGTTATGTGTCACATCTTACCATCTTTGGTTGTGCAGTTGCGTTATTTTGTTACCTCGCTGTCCTGTCCTTGTGTGCCAACGACACGACCGTGTTGGGCACTGAAGAAGAAGAATCTTGTCAAGTGAAGGTTTTCATCTCCAGGTTTCCCATTGGAGGTGTCCTTGTATTTGTTGGCAAGTGAAGCTGCGCAAGTGCATGTGATCAAGTGGTTGTGTACAATTCAAGGTTGGCACTGGGGCTATGCACGCGTTGTTTCGCAAGTGAAGTTGTACAAGCGAAGGTTGTCAAGCGGATGTCTTCAGTTCAAGTTTTTATATTTGAGGGGCAAAAGTTATCAAGTGAATATCTTCTGTTCCGGTCTTGGCAGTGGAGGTGTGCAAGTACTTGCTGGCAAGTAGAGATGTACAAGTGAAGGTGTTCAAGTGAATCTACTCAGCTCAATGTTTGGCAGTGGAGGCTTGGAAGTATGGATTGGCAAGCGAAGTTGTGCAAGTGAAGGTGGTCAATAGCTGTGCTGAGGCGCTGCGCCAAAAATGTACAACCCGACAGCGGCATGAACGACATGTAAAGAAAACAAACAAATTTTGAATTCACATGCTACTTAGTACCAGTGTGTGTGAGACTGGAAGTTACAACATTATTTATTGGGCAATAGAAGTCTTTAATCAACAGACTAAATAAATTCTGTGAACATTGCAGCGTTGCTTTGTCCTGTAACATACAGGTATGTGGTTTTTTGGTCGCGAACCTTTCTGTTTGTTACATTTTGGCCGCGGAACCAACAGAAGTAACTAATTTGTCAGAAAACTCACACATGTTATTCTCTGTTGTGTTTGGTTGTTTCCAAAGGATCGCATTTCCACCTGCGAGGTTTAAACTGTTGCCTCAGGTAGTTCTCTAAAGTATAGAATGTTGTACAACCCATGCTGGTTCAATCTATATTGGCCCAATTTTTCCATGTCAAGTGAAGAAACAGGTGAGTCAAGCGAAATTTTCTATCTTCAGGTGTTTATTTTAATTCATATATATATATTCTATTTATCCGTAACTCGGAAGATTGCTTCCCAACTTCCTTTGATTTGATAATTATATATTGAGTCTACAGTCTATCCTAATACCAGTAACAGTCAAAAAAAGGGATTTCCACATAGGGACCCCCCCCAAAAGGTGCACAAAGCAAATTGTTATTTTGGGGAACTGGTAATCGGGGATTTGAGTGACATGGTGTGCGTGTGTATTCTTCACCTGCCCGACCTTCTTGCTCTCTCTGCAGCTTTTCATTCAATTTACAAATGGCAATTTGCAGTTGAACATTTTTGAGTCTGGTAGTCTCCAATGACAAATTTCCCATCAGATGTGTTGCCGGTATATACTAGCGACATTTTTTCAATTGGCAAGTTGGTTCCTTCCTTGCATGGGCCATGGTCCCTCGACTGTTGTGCAAAAGGCTTGGGCCTGTTGTCCCTTGAGATTGTTTGCAATTTACAAATGATGGCTGTTCATTGCTTCATGGCTTGTGTGGCCATTATTTGTATTGTAGCTGTCACCTGTTACCTGTGGCCATTATTTGTGTGCTCCAGTTCGTGCTTCTTGGTGCACTCCCTCGTGCCATTTTGCATGCTCCATGGTGCTTTTTGGTGGGTTGCCTCGTGCCATTTTTTGTGCTCCAGTTCGTGCTTTTTCGTGTGCTCCTTCGTGCCGTTTTGTGTGCTCGAGTTCGTGCTTTTTGGTGTATACCCCCTCGTGCCATTTTGTGTGTGTGTGTGCTCCAGTTCGTGCTTTTTGGTGTACTCCTTCGTGCCATTTTGCATGCTCCAGTTCGTGCTTTTTGGATCGGGGATACCATTGTCTCTACAAAAGCCGGTATCATGTGACCCCTACAAAGGGTTCTGTAAGGCTCCATTTTGTAAGGATCACTTTGCTGTGTACCCGGGTTTTGTAGTAGAGCGATACCTTTGTAGGCATTCCTGCCTGGTCCACCAAAAGTGTTCAAATTGTATGAATCCTTAAATGGACCTACTGCGAAAACCAAGAGTCTTTTGTAATGGATAAATTGTGGCCAAAAACAATTTGTAGGTATGCTGTGCCCCAAAAAACTGTAGCTGCAGACTGTTTTGTAGTACTGCTAGGCCTAGTTCCAATCTAAGTTTTCACAAAGGCCTTGCAAATCTACGGAAATTATGTTCAGTCAACATCATGCAAACACATTTCCCAAGAATAATTCTCCAAGAATTACCATGAATTTTATTGAATTTTCATATATTTATTTATATTTATATACATTTATATGTATTTTTTGTCAGGGGTAGACAAAAGCAAGGGCCTGTAGGATCCTGTAGGATCGTCTTGGATCGTCTTGGTGCATAGCCCAGCTATGCAGAAAAATGACGAGAAGCAATCCATCGCGAAGACCGTGAAAAAGAAACTTAGGAAATCTTGGGGAAATGGGAGTGTTGTTTATTTTTTTAAGGTACGACATGGTACGACCCAAGAAGTAGCTTAAGTTAGTCAGAATAATCCCTGGTTGAAAGCTGTTGAAAGCAGTTGCCGTAGAAGAAAAATCAACCCCAGATTCACTACAAAAATATCCTGTGCCCTTGGACCATCCAGAAAAAGGACCTTATAAATTTCACTACAGAAGTTATCAACCAACATGTGAACAAGGCCCTACAAAAGTATTATAGAAATTTAAGGCTATTTCAAAAACAAAAAAACACAAAAAAAACATAGGTTGTAAAACCCTGAGACTTTTGTAGGAATATTTTTTCTAACCGCGACATTCTTCTGTAGGTTTTTTTTTCCTGACTGACTCCACTTTTGTAGTTTTGTGTTCTAAAGTCAGATTTGTATCTACAAAACCTGGGGCACAGGTTACCCTGGGTAATGGTAACCCCGATCTTTTTGGTGTACTCCCTCGTGCCATTTTGCGTGCTCCAGTTCGTGCTTTTTGGTGTACTCCCTCGTGCCATTTTGCGTGCTCCAGTTCGTGCTTTTTGGTGGGATGCCTCGTGTCATTTTGCGTGCTCTAGGTCGTGCTTTTTGGTGGGTTGCCTCGTGCCATTTTGCGTGCAGTTACTGATGCCTTGCTTCTCTGGCATTTCGCCAGTTGGTGGGTCGGAGCTTCTTTCGGCACACCAGCACCTGAGTCAAGATCAAAAAACTGGTTCTTCTTCGTGCTCCTTTTTGTTTTTTGTGTTTTTTCTGTGCTTGTTTTAAAAAGGAATTAATAAAACAAATAGCCAATAGCATAAACAATGTTCCTGCCCAAGCTCAAGGTTGAAGCTCAATCTGTATCGCTCTACCTTGAGCAAAGCATCTTGTTTTTCAGCAACCAGTCATGCATTTTTCTGTGCTCCAGTTCGTGCTTTTTGGTGGGTTGCCTCGTGCCATTTTTTGTGCTCCATTTCGTGCTTTTTCGTGTGCTCCTTCGTGCCATTTTGTTTTTCTCCAGGTCGTGCTTTTTGGTGTACTCCTTCGTGCCATTTTGTGTGCTCCAGTGCGTGCTTTGTGGTGTATACTCCCTCGTGCCATTTTGCGTGCTCCAGTTCGTGCTTTTTGGTGCACTCCCTCGTGCCATTTTGCGTGCTCCAGTTCGTGCTTTTTCATGTGTCCCTTCGTGCCGTTTTGTTTGCTCCAGTTCGTGCTTTTGGGGTGCTCCTTTTCATGCCATTTTGTGTGCTCCAGTTCGTGCTTTTTGGTAGTGTACTCCTTCGTGCCATTTTGCGTGCTCCAGTTCGTGCTTTTTGGTGGGTTGCCTCGTGCCATTTTTTGTGCTCCATTTCGTGCTTTTTCGTGTGCTCCTTCGTGCCATTTTGTTTTTCTCCAGGTCGTGCTTTTTGGTGTACTCCTTCGTGCCATTTTGTGTGCTCCAGTGCGTGCTTTGTGGTGTATACTCCCTCGTGCCATTTTGCGTGCTCCAGTTCGTGCTTTTTCATGTGTCCCTTCGTGCCGTTTTGTTTGCTCCAGTTCGTGCTTTTTGGTGTGCTCCTTTTCATGCCATTTTGTGTGCTCCAGTTCGTGCTTTTTGGTGTACTCCTTCGTACCATTTTGCATGCTCCAGTTCGTGCTTTTTGGTGTATATACTCCCTCGTGCCATTTTGCGTGCTCAAGTTTGTGCTTTTTGGTGGGTTGCCTCGTCCCATTTTTTGTGCTCCATTTCGTGCTTTTTCGTGTGCTCCTTCGTGCCATTTTGCGTGCTCCAGGCCGTGCTTTTTGGTGTACTCCTTCGTGCCATTTTGTGTGCTCCAGCGTGCGCTTTTTGGTGTACTCCCTCGTGCCATTTTGCGTTTATGTATTCGTTTTCTCTGGGGGAGCCACCCCAGGAATCAGCCCAGCTGTCTGTTGAACACATGTTGAACACTTGAGGTGCCCGGACACACAGCCCCTGGCACATGCAAGTATTGTGGTTGAATTGTCTTGCTTTGGCAGGTCGCGAGCAATTAGGCAGAGCTACACCAGAAACAGCAAAAAAAATGGCGCTCTGCAGGGAGGATTGTGGTTAAATTTGTCTGTTTCCCTGGTGCTCCTTTTTGTGCTCTGTTTTGTGCTCACTGTTACAGCCAATAATAGGCTAGAGCCAAATTATATATATGTATATATATTCCAGAGCTATCAATATCTATCATTTTTTGATAGGCGATGAGCAAGTTGCCCGAGTTAATGGAAATAATATGAAATTATAGGAAGACAGGGGGCTGCTGCCGCTGCTTACCGATGGAGTACGTTTCCAAATACTTTGTCCGATGTTCGACATTGTTCGACTGAAAATTTCAACGTATATTTCAACATTTTATTGTCTTGGTGCTGAATGACCCACGCCCATGTCTCAGGGAATGCGGAGGCTAACTTTCGTGGCCCCGAAGCGGGGCAGTGCATCATCCGCTGCGTTGTCACAAAGCAGATGTCTTCTGCCATCATTGGGCCCAAAGGAAACAACGCGCGCGCGATTCGTGAGGAATCCTCGTGCAAAGTAGCAATCGACACCAACGTTACTTCAGGCCAGCACGGGTTCGCTCTTTCTTGTTTGTCGATCAACATGTATTCGTAGTAGGACGTCGCAAGTCTCCCCCAATATTAAACTCCTGGCAGACTGGAAAGAGCTGACATGTCCTGCCCTGCAGGTCATCAGCAAGTGAAACTCATTGGTGAACCGCGCAACCTGACCCTCGCGCTGGCCATGGTAAACCGACATATACAAGATCAATTTGGCACGCCTGGCTACACAGAATGGTCCACAATTAAGGGCTTTGACAGAGCAGGGAATCCTGTGCATTGCTCCCCAGGGGAGCTCAGCACCTCGTGGATCAAAGGAGATCGGGGAGATCAGTGGAGTGAGTGGGAGGAAGAGCGCGAGCGCACGCCCAGAAGGCCTCCGATGCCAGCAGCGCCACCACCAGGCAGATGTTTTTTGTTCCTGATGGCGCCGGTGGCCTTTGACGGGAAACATTTATGAACAACTATGATATTTCCACATTTCCACAGCTTTTGAATTTTGATGGGTTTCAGCAGAAATTCCTACAATGGAGGTCCTCCAACCCTGTTTTGGGCCGTACGAGGGTTTCCAGATGCAAAAGCACACTGAATGAGAAACAGGGATGCATAGAACATCATAGACATAGAACATGATGGGCTGCAGCAAAGTGCGACAAGACTGTTGAAGATATGCAACAAAAACACTTCTGTAGGGTCCTGCCAGATTGTTTGCAGGCCCAGCTCGCCGTGCAGCCATACCTCCGCCAGAATCATTGCATCATGGCTACGATGATTGGACAAACCGAGTGATTTCGTGACGCTGTGCCACAGTTGTTTGGCAGATGGCCTACCTAACACCTTTATTTTTATGTAATTGAATGCATGTGTGTTCACCACGCAGCTGAGAGGGGATCCACTTTGGACAAGACGTTGAAAATATATGAAAATGGTGAGTCACAAGTGTGATTCCACGCTGTCACACGCATGGTCTTAGAGAAGCCTGGTTACCTGGTTGTGAATGACTCTTATGTCGCGCACCTTTTGGCTTAAACCTTGAGGGCCCTTGAGCTTTTCGTGGCAACGAACAAAAGGATCCAGCCGAGATTTAAACTGGTAGCGGAGCAGGTTCCGAGGGTGATCCCCTCAACGGATTTTTCTGGTGAGGGTAGCAGGTGGTAGGCCAATTTGGCCTTGATGGTGTTTTTGTGTATTTTGCATTTTTGGAATCGCTATCTTGGCACAGCTTCGAACGGAGACTCTGATCGTTTGAAGTTAAACAAATTTAGGAACTTAGAAGAGATGTAATGTGTATATATATATATAAAGTCAGTGATTACAACCATGGTGTAAACTACTTGTAAGTATGCCAAGTTCCTTAAGTCTTCATAACTAAGCTTTAACTTCATGTAGCAGCATAGGTGAAGTTGTAAGTATTTGTTTGAAATGTATCTATTTATCGAAGTTAGCATATCTTTCTTATCTTTATGTTAATTTTTGATATCCAGTTAGGGAAGTTAACATAACTAGTTACGGAAAGCTAACATAATCAGGATGCCGAAGACCAGCCCTAGATCAGTAGGGTTTTAGATCAGTAGGGTTTTCAGCATTCCCCAGAAATCAGAAAAAAGATGTTTCCTGAAAAAAAAAGTTTTTGGAAACATTTGAGAAAATTTGGGGTAGATAAACTCTCTTGTAGGAACCACTTGCCACTTGCCACTTGACCAAGTGCCTTTTGCAAATCCCCTTGGAAAATATTTTGGCAATATCAATATTCATAGTTGGATAGAGGATTTCGAGATGTTTTTTTTGCTTATTTCCTTTTCCTGCATCACTTGCTGGAGCAAGACTTGGAGCAGCAGATGATTGCAGCTGGAAACCAGAGGGTGCGCCCAAGCATGTTTTGTTTTGGGGAAGGGTGGTGGGGCTTGAGATTGTTCCTGAAATTCAAGTGCTTTTGTGTTGCTTGTGGAAGTGCTTTTATTCCTAATGTACAAAGCTGTATACTAGCAAGAGTAACTTGTCATCAATTCGCGAATTGTTGCTGTTGTTGTTGTTGTTGTGGTGGTGGTGGTTGTTGTTCATTTGCTGTGCTGAAATTGATTTTCTCAAGTAAGTGTTAGCCAGCCAGTGCCAGCCTTGCCACTTGACCAATGGAGGGAGCCACAGCAACCTTTGCTATGTTTGTGCCAGAGCCAGTTGCCCCAGCTGACCTTGGCATAGCACAGGCGTACTATGAGGTGTGTGCCCAGCGAATGATGGAGGAGCTGCCGGAGGAAGACAAGTTGGAGATGTCCTTTATTCAAGATTACTTTACTGACTTTGTTTTTGAAGGTAACCACAAAAAGTGCATTTCTACCTGTGTTTTCACTCAAATTTGCCTCAATTTTTCTTAGATGAAATTTGAGGCAAATTTGAGTCAAATTTGAGTGAAAACCTAGGCACAAAAGCGCAAGTTTTGAGATCCTTCAATTTGAGGTGTGCTTGAATCACATTTGAGTTAAAACCTAGGCTTAAAGCGCAAGTTTTGAGATCCTTCAACCACATCCTTGGGCCCCAGCGCAACACCAAACCAACTTAACTAATACCAACAACCAACTATTTTGCTTCAACACTTGCCCATGAGGCACATTGCCCATGCTGTCCAAGTGAGCAAGAAATTGTCCTGGCCACCATGCCTTGCGTTACTAACTTGCAATGCCAATGCAAAACTTGAATGTGTTTTGAATCAATTTTGAAATGAAATATCTTGGCATCACAGATCAGTTTGGTGTTATGCTCGCACCTAGGATGGATGGAGGTCGCAAGGTTTCCATGGACCATGTCAATGATCACCCTATGTTTGAGATCCTTGGGCGTTAATTGAATCAAATTATGTTTATTGTTGTTGTTTGTGTGTGTGCAAGGTTCCTTATTTTTGATAACGTTTCATGACAAGTGGCCAGTGACCAGTGAACCAGTGTTATTGCTTGACAAATTTTTATAAGCCGCTATTGTTGCACATTAGTTTCAGCACTAGAGGCTGGCAATGGAGATGCTTGATCAGAGGGTCAAGACTCACTTGGCCAAGACGGCAGAGTACTTCCAGAGAATGGGAGGGGGGAATGCCCAGTGTTCAGGAACGGCTGGCTACTTTGAATGAGGCAAGTGAATGTTGAAACATTGGAGTTTGGTTTCCAAGCAGCAATGAATAAATATAAACGTTTGTCATATTGGAAATTTGTTATGAAAGTGCTGAACTGTGTACTGGTAAATATTGACTCAGTGCTGATCAAGTGGTTGTTTGATGAAGTTTGATCACAAGTTGTCATACTCTTGGGAATTTGGGGGATGAAACCCTGCAGACATTCACATTCTCAATTCAGTTGCCACTTGCCGGGAAGATTTGGCAATGTGTTACCAGCCTCAATGTGGATCAAGGGCCTGATCATTTCCAAGAGCGACTCTTGACTTGATTGTGCTGCACCCCATGGGGTTTGATTTGACATGATAACTGAATTTCAAATCATCATCGAAGCCTTCATTTGATCATTAATTTGTACATGTTATGAGACAAGTGGGCCGGATTTTGATTCAATCTTAACTTAATTTATCCTCAATCATTATGTATTGCCTGGGCCAAAGGATATACTAGGCAGGCAGCTTCAATGAGCCATTCGATTTTGTGCACTTGCGCTCTAGGTGATGGGCAGCTGGTGCTCTTGCACAGTGGATTCTTTTTGACTCTGTGTGCAACATTTTCTGGGAGTACGGCTGTGGTTGGCTGAACCTTTTAATGCCAAGTGATTTTGCCTGCCAAGTGCCCAGCGAAGTCTTGTAGAATTTCAACCAACCTTTACCTTGAGATCAATGGTATATTTTATTTGTCATTTGAAGGGCGCAAGGCTGCTTGTAGGCAAGGGTGTCACGTGATGTGATCAACATTGCACAATTTTGCCAGTGAATGGAAAAAAATTACTGACTTAGTTGCGCTAGCCAGATTTTTCATACCTCATTTTTGCCTTGGGCCATTGGCATTCAGCAATGAATCTCAATGCAACTGTGTGCTGCCAGGTGTAGCCATTGCATGAGGCATGTGGCGCCCTCAATTCTTGACTGCCAGCCAGCCAGCCAACAAAAAATCATGTCATTTTCAATTCATTGCAGTGGTGGTTTTTGCCTTTCTGCCATGTATTCGGTGGTAAGTGACACTGTAAGTCCAAATGGGACAATTATGTATGTATTACTGTTACTATGTATTTGCAACTCAAATATACAGACACAATGCATTACAGTTTTCACACCCGCTCTTGTTTGGGCAGGCTGCATGATGTGTGCCTTGAGGGATTTGAATAGGGTGTACCTACTTTAATTTAATATTTACTTGGCTTCACTGTACACTGCCTGCTCACTTCCAAGGTGATCACTTGTATTGTCAGCCCTGTCAGCAGTCAGGCCAGGGTCCAAGCCAAACCTGTGATTGTGAAACTCTTTTCCAAATCTTGTTGTCAGCTGATTTCAACAGACTAGGCTTGCCACTTGATTGCCACTTGAGTCACTTGAGATTGCCACTTGTCACTTGGCTGCTGCTCAATTTCATGGCCCAGAGAATAAGGCACTTGCCCAAGTGTAGCGTAGCTGCCAAGTGCCAGGATTCCACCACAGCCCAGGATGCCAAGCCATAAGGCCATAAGGATGATGGCCCCCAAACTGCAGCAGAGATTTTGCAGCTACACCGTGCACGGCCAGGCAATTATTCAGTTGTGCAATTGCACAAGAGGAGAAAGCTGTTGATGGAGTCAGTAGCTAGTCATGGCTGGCAATTATTTTCAAGTGCTTGAGATCAAACTACAAATAGTCTAATTGGAACAGAGTTCAATAAGTTCAAGCAGTGGCAATCTGCACTTCTGGTTGTTGTTAGTTATGCAAAACTGATTTGTTTTCAAGTGGTCCGATCATTTGGATCAATCAAGGTGCACCCATCTGCCCACCTCCTTGCTGCTACAATTGGGCATGTGTTGGCTCAGCTTGATCCATCAAGTGCTCACTTGAAAGCTGGTTCCACTTGCAAGCAAAAAAAGCATATGTTGCTCCAGCTTCAAGGAAGGACATGGCAAGTGCTGACAAGCACCAGGGCAGTTGCAGTTCGAAGCCAGTGGGGGCAGATAGCCTGGATGACGAAGAGGAGGAATCTTTTTTTGAACTGAATCAGTTGGTGTACTGGTGATCAATTGTCAAGGGTTGTCCGGAAAATGGATGACTGTTTGGTTTTGCATGTTAATTTGCCAACTGCCATCACACACTGATGTGATTCCATCCAGTGTTTGGCAGGAGCACCGGCTTTAGAGGTTGCATGTGATCATTCATATGTAAAAATGTGCTTGCATATTAGTTTTCAAAAGTTTCATGGATGTTGTAACATGGTTGAACATGGTTTTGGTGCTCACACAGTTGCTTTATCCATTGAACTCATGCCATAGGAAAATGAATGAAAAAGTACAGGTGGATCCTGGATCTGTGACTGTGGGGGGCCTCAATGAACCAGTGCCAGTGCAACTTTGAAGCTGCCAATCAGTGCCACTTGTTCTTCTCCAGCATGTGCAATTTTCCAAGTATTTGCAAGTGATGGTGTTTGCCATGGGTCATTGATGGTTTGGGGCAATCAAATCACACCCTACATTTTTTAAAAAATCAAATCACATTGTCTTGGCAATAACTGTACACTTCATTTTGTTCAGTGTTTGCATGGCAAATTGTGTAAACTTGCACTGTGGACTGAGGTGATGTGGCTGATGCGGTGCAGCACCAAGTGTTCATGCCAATGTTGTTTTTGTAATGAGCTGCAGGGATGTTGCAAGTACCACTACTTTCTTAATATCATTTAATATCCACTTGCCAAGTGCCTTGTTTTTCGATTTGTTATGACAATGCACTATGTCACTTTCATTTGCCAAGTGCCACTTGCTAGGTGTTTTTTATTCTTAAATTTAAGAAAGTGTCCCTCAAGCTCTGCCTGTGCATGTCTAAGGCAAGAAGTGGCCCCATCGTGGAGAAAATCGACACAAAGAAGGCACATCATGAACCAGTGCACATCGAAAGATATTAATGTATTAACTTGGCTTGTCATTATACTGATTCACTGTTGGAAAAGCATGTTGAGTTGGATTGAACTTCCAGTGCCCAGTGTTTGTGCAGCAACATTTTGTTGGATCAATTGAGTACGGTGCAGCAATGTCAGACAATGGAAAAGTAACCGGCATGCAAAGATTCCAATGGACAAACATACACAAAAATGATTTCAACATGTTTGCAAGGTGCACATTTTGATTAAAATAAAAACTGAACTCCACCATTTAATTTTGCATTTCATCCAGTGTGCTTTCCGCTGCATGGCCAACTTCCCGACACACGCAAGTGTGGCCTCGGACTATTTACCCCGTGATCAAACTGTGCCACATATTGGTCGGATCCTTTTCTGCATGCAGTGCATTATACACATATGACAAGTCTTTCTCATTCTCTTCATTAATTTCATGTTTCAGGCTATGTCATGTTGTGAACCACTTGGAAACAGCTGAGGAAAGGACAGCAAGCTTCTTTGCAGCATTTGTGTGTTTAGATTGAGTCAAGGTCGAAAATTTCACCAACTTTTTCAAATTCAAAAGAATCTAACTAAGAGACTACTTTCCAGTGATGCTTGCTGCTGCTGGCATTCATGGTGGATAAAAGCTGCAACTGTTCTCTTCAATCCTCACTCAGCCTTAGGCACTCTACTTGCTGGCTCTTGTGGACATCAAAGCAGCCGAGGGGGAGCTGTCACTTTCCCAGTGTTTTGACTTCTTGTCGGTCATAGAAAGTGCAGAAATGTGATTGCCATTGCCACTTGTCAACCTTTGGGACTTTAGGTTAAGTGCGTTGTGCTCACTCTATTTTTGCAATCAACTGTCAACTGAATTGGAGCTCAGGGAGATCATCAAGGAAGCTCGGGGCCATGTCCGAAACCTTGAAGGGTTCGCCTTGTACAACATCAAGACATCCATTGGAGCGCAGCTTGTTTGCATTTTTTGCCAATTGAATGAGCTGAATCATGTTTGAAACAATTTTCAGATATTCAGTGAAATGATGATACTGTTTCTTGCTCGGTCCAAGGGCACTTGACGAACACCTTGAAAAAGAGCGAGCCAGTGTCAGAAGTGGTGGAGCCAGTGCCAGCGGAGGGGAGGCCACCAGTGATGAAGAGTCTCAGCTATTTTCAAAATTCTTGAATCATGTCAGCTGTCGCTTCAACTTGAAGTATTGCCCTGGCCACTGACTGTATATTTTTAGTTTGTTGCTGTGCCAAGGAGAAGGTTGAAGTGAGCTTTGCCAATGGTGAGATTGTCTTGTGGCCAAAGCGAGTGGCATTGCTTTTAAATTAAAGGCACTGTGGATAATTGAACTGAATAATTAATGGAGTTTTCTTGGCTTCATTCCAGGGCACTTGCTTCATCGATGGGGTTGAGCTCAAGTCCTTCAAGGACATCCCACTTGTGGCAAACCACCTTGCGGACTCACCAGAGCACAACTTGCAGAGAGAACTCCCTGACTGGAATCTTGACTGTGCTAAGTGGAAAAAAATGACTTTGCATCCAGTGTCATTTTTTTTATGATTAAGTTAGTTAAAGTGCTGTTTGATGATGTTGCCAGTCAATTGCTGTTTTCATTGCATCAAGGCGATTCAATGGCAAGCTCCCAAAGGAAATAGGCCTTCACCCAGTGTGCCAGAAACATGTCACTTGACAAAGTTGTGATGCTGATAAGTTGTGCATTCACTTTCTTTTTACTTTGTGCAGTTTGAAACCACTTGCTAGAATATGAGTTGATGAGGTGCTCAGCCACCCTGATATCGAGCAAGTGCTGTTTGAGATCCTTCGCAAGCCGCACAACTTGATCAGGCCATGCTGGAAAATGCATTCATTGTATTATTAACAGTAACAGTAACAGTTCAGTTCATAGCTTAAACTTTTTTGGTGTCTAAAGGCAAATTGAAATCCTTTTTCATTGTTTGACTTGGAGGTTGACCTGCTTGAATTGCTGGCAACGAACACTCACTATGATGTTGCTCTTGGATGGCTGGCTCTCCGTTCTTTGGTCAAAACAGGTCACAGTCATTCTGCTTTAGTTGATGTCAATATGCATTTGATGTCACAGTCTGCAATGATTTCTCTTCTTTCCAGTTTTCACTGGTCACTGACTAAGGGGTTTGGTTGCCAAGTGATGTGCGCTATCCAGAACCTCCACCAGCGCCCTGGATGGGCAGCTTGGAAGGTGATCAGTTATTTGCGTGGTGGTGAGCCGAACCTTGGGTTGCAATTGACTGCAACTTTCCACAGTCACTTGCCAAGTGTTGCTTATGTGATGTTAGTGTTTGTTTTGAGGAATTTCCTTGTTATTGTCAATTGTTACTGTCTCAGGGCTGTTGGGGAGATGCGCCACGACATGGAGCACATCGGTGCCATGAACATCTGGGTTGGTTCAATTGCCAGTGTGCACAAGATCTGGCAGTTTGAGCTCAAGTACTCAACTCCAGGGCTACTTGTTTCAAGCTGCAGCTGTAAGATTTGTTCTGTCTGTGCAGCTGCGAAGGCTGGCGCAACTATTGGCAAGGGGGGGAATTGGTTAAACCAGTCCCTTTCTTGGATAAGAGCAGCACGCTAGCTAGCAGACAAGTGCCCAGTGCCCATCAGTAAAATGCATGAACATTTATATTCAATTTTGTTCAACCATTTTTGACAAGCAGCAGCACCATTCTATTGTTTCTGTGGTGTTTTTTGTTGTCACTTGCCAAGTGAACATTGGTGCTTGTGCTGCTAGCATCGGCCAGTGCAATCGGCACATTTGGCTGACCTCTTTTTTGCTCAGCAATGGCACTCTGTTTGCCAAAATTCATCTGAAGGATTCGCAAGGATCGATCATGCAGATATACTTCAGCATATGATGTTGTGAGCAAAATGTTGTTTGAAGCTTCAATTGCCTGTTCTTGCGCACTGCTGTTTGGACGTGATTTTCAATTCACACTTGCAGCAACCAATTCAAGTGAACAAAGTATAATAATAATGCCCATAATGTATCATTGCACTTGCTGCTAGTGTATTGGTTGGTCAGGCACTTGCACTCCTATTGAGCGTTCAGAACTCAATTCTTCATGTCATGGTGCAATCAACATATGGAAAGAATGGAACAATCTTGAGAGGACATGTGTTTCCCTAGTTGATGTTGTGCTGGCACTTGCACAGCTAGTTGGCATGCTCTGCACCTGAGGTTTTCAAGGGATGTTAATGCATGGTGGTCACACTGTGAAGGTCTCAGATGTGTATTTCAAATTCATGCTTTTTTGATAGCAACTATGGTATATTCTTAGGTAAACAGTACCAATGAAAGAAAAATATGTTCACTGCATGCAGTGACATCACATTTTCCAGGCAGTTTGTATATGCAATTGAACTCTTTTCTTGCCCGATTGCAGTGAAGGTGTCCTGTCAATTTATTTAAGTTGTCTATGCAATTGAAAATTGCCATGAGGCCCAAATTGAGTGGATGGCTTGCTCTCCAGGACTGCATGTGCTGAAACTTGCAATGGTTTGATGTTGTAAGATTCTTACTGCTACACTCTGAGACCATCAAACATATTTTTTTCATTTTCATTATCATCTGTATTTTCATGTCATTTTGTTGGGTAAATTTGAATATCATTTTTTCATTTGCAACTTCATTTTTTTCGTTTTCGTTCATCACCTTTTGCCATCAAACTTCATTTTTTTCATTTGCAATTTCATTTTTTTCATTTGCAACTTCATTGTTTTTCATTTGCGACTTCATTTTCCTTTGTTTTTGATGGTTTTCCATTGTTTTTCATTGATTTTAATGGTTTTCCTGGATTTCCGGTGCCACGGGCAAGGAGAATGATAAAAAAATGATTTAAAAAAATGATAAAACAATGATTAAAAAAATGAACATTTCCTCGAGTTTTTGAAGATTTCCTGGTTCAGAGTGAGAATCTGCAACTTTGAGTCCAATTTTTTTTTCATTTGCAATTTCATGTTTTTTTCATTTTCCTTTGTTTTTGATTGTTTTCCATTGTTTTCATTGATTTTCATGGTTTTCCTGAATTTCAGGTGCCACGGGCAAGGAAAATGATAAAAAAATGAAAAAATAACAATAATAATAATAAATGATAAAACAATGAAAATGTGAAAGGGAACTAAACCACACGCACATGGGTTACAGTGTAAAATAGTCCCATGTGTTCAGGGCAATAACCGCCAACGCACTGTTGGCTCAAGCGCCCGCAACAGGAAAATAATAACGCTGCCATGTCCTCCACATTCGCTTGAAACGCTGACAAACGGCAAAGCGCAGAAACTCCGAAACTCATTGAGCACATCCGGAACAGGGATTAGTCTGTTCACAGGTTATCAGCCGTAAGGGCTCTCAACTTCCATCGGAAGCGGAGTACCTGCGCGCTGTTAGCCAGCGTTAGGTGCAAACGATCGTGAAGTCCGATCAGCACCAACATCGCAAAGATGCAAGGCGACAGTGGAGAGACGCAGTTTACCTTTGACGGTAATGCCGCAGCCCCTGCAGAAGGTGTTTCACAATCTTCTCCGGGAACTGCTGACAGTGGGGACAAATCCACAAAGACAACAAAATCTGGATGGCAGAAGATGACTACTAGACACCGAAGAGCATCAACTACCAGTACTCCAAGATCGGCACGTGACGTGGTTCGAAGTGGAAATGCACGACGAAGCCGTCGATCACCAAGGAGAACACCTACCGGACATAGGACCCCGAGGGCAGTCGAGGACCAACATGGTAGGGAGTCGAGTGATATTAGTGCCAAGAGAAGATCAACAGAAGCACGTGGTAGCAATGAACCAATAGCTATCATTGAAGAGCTTAGAGAACAATGTCAAACTCTGAGAGAGAAAGTGACACAATCCGAGATGTACGCTGCTTCAAGGGATCAAGTCATTAGGGACATTGAGACCAAGTTCACCGAATATCTTCGCGGACATAATCAACAGGTATTCACTGAAATTAATGCCCTCAACAGTCGATTGATGTACTCAACCAATGAGGTAACTGAATACCATGCCGAATTGATGTTGGCCTCCAAGGAAGATGAAGGTGCAACTATCCGTATTGAAGATCTTGAACGTCGAGGTGCATTAGCTGAACATGGTGCCAGACGAATCTATGAATGCGGTCTTGAGATCCAGGAAGAGTACAAGGACGAAGTACACCACCTTCAAGGACTACTTGGGAACACTGAATCACGTCTACAGCAGATGCAACATGATAGTAGCCTTGCTAGGAGTGTAGCTGAGACTTTGTACCAAGAAGGAAGTGAAATGCAGAGAAGTCTTGAGAATTCCATAGTGGAGTATCGTAATCAATCTGAACTGGCAAACTTCTCACACACTCATTTGGAGATGACAAGTCAGAGACAAGCGTTTGCGGTCAGTGAGCTCAATGATGAGAACCAGATTCTGGGTGAAGCACTTGTCCATTCCCGTAAACAGGCCGAACTGTACGAAAACAACATGGAACAGATCACTAGAGAGTATCGCAAGAAAATCAATGAAGCCAATCATGCCAAACTTGAAAATGATCTAAGACATAGAAATACTGAACATGATACTGTCAAGCGGTTCGCCAATTACAGGAATACTGGGGCCGAGGCTATTGCTCAGTTGAGGCTTGAATCAAATCTTAGTTCAAATGCTCGAGAGAAAATGGAACACTATGAGATGCTCTACAACAACGAGCGAGCATTGACCAACGAGCTCAAGACCGAGATCGAGGACCGAAACGTGAAACTGAGACGATCACTTCAGGAGAACCCAATGGCCATCGGCCACGGTTCTAACCAATCTGCAATTCAACATCTCGAAACAGAGGTCAAGGTTGCACAGGTTAGGGCCCAGGATTTTTCTGAAGAAATGGATGAATGTATGTGCATGAACATCAGGCTGAAGGACGAATTGGCTGATGCTTCGAGGCAAGGGTCGTCGACCCCCCTCGGATCTGAAGTCGCTATCCTCAGGACTGAGCTTGAAAGCGAACGTAAATACAAACTAGCCACAGGTGCCCAGCAATATGAACGATCATGTGAATACCTGGGTGAGTTGAGGGATAGAGATGAGAAATTGAAGGTGAAGGATGCGGAGATATCGAAGTTGAGAAAGAGTCTCATAGATGCAGAAATAGCCATCAAGAGCCAAGAGAGTCTCAACGCGCTCCCCTTCTCTGCAGGTATCACGAGCAGTGGTCTATCACCCTACATGATTATTGGGAAGTTGGAGAGTGATATTGAAGCAGCAAATGATGAGTCGAATATTCTACGTGCATGGATTCGACAACTTGATGAAGAACTCAACAAAGAATACACGGCGGCTCATTCAAACAATGCTGCAAGTACAGAGCAAGTATACCAACGATCTGCACATCCTGAGAATCAGAGAGTATCTGAACTCCTACGTGAGGTCAACAAGAAGATTTTGGACGGGAAAGGAGTTAGTGTCGCTGAAGGAGCAGGCATCCCTGACTACAAGAGGCCCGGCGGCAGTGATGATCCAGATTTCCCAAGTGGGCCTCCTGATCCCAACGGGCCTCCTGGACCTCCTATCCCACCTGGTTTGCCTTCGCTTCGAGGATCACAGAGGGATTCAGCAATTGATCTTGAGTCAACAACGGCTTTCACTGCTGAAGAACCCCCGAGGATATCCCGACGAGAAGCGGACAAGGTATACATCAGTCCATGGCCAAAGCACCAGAATTTGGGTGTTTGGCAATCTGATCTCATCAAAAGTGTATGCCTCGCAGCCAACGACGGCGACAGAGCCGCATGGGAAGCCTGGTTACAACCAGCACTCAGGCAAAACCCTGACATCGATGCTCTGAACGATAGCGGTGGGCAAAGGCTTCAGTCTATTGATGCAAAGCTTTCCATTGCACTATCGAACGTTATTTCACAAGCTGGTGATGTAGCTCGACATGCTGCAATTAAGCTAAGACTGAGGACCCAAGCTAGCAATCGAAGAGCGACTTTTGTCATGGGACGAGAAATTCTTGCCATGATTCTGGAACATTTCAGGACCCCAGGTCAGCGTGAGACTGCATTCACCATGGAGCATATCATTCAATCACGATACCTGGGTGATGCCAACATTGAAACGTTCTATGAAAAGTGGATGGAGATTGTCTCCAATATGATGCCTGAAGATGTACCTCAAGATGATTGGTTGCGTGATGCATTATATAAGAAGATCAGGAACTCCAACTTGATGGTGTATGACATAAAGCAGTATGAATCATGGATGGAAGGAGATCCTAGGAGAACATATCAGTATCTCATCAATGTGATCGAGCGTCACATTGCCAGGATCAGAGAAGACAAGCACGTCGCGGCAAGGGATTTGTATGCCAGAGACTTTGCTGGCGGAGGTAGGCCGACTGCGCCTACTCCCATTGCTCCAGCTCCTCCTGATGCAAACGCCAAAGCGAAAGCAAAGGCAAATGCTAAGAAGGCTACTCCAAAGCCCAAAGCAAAATCTGATGCTGCTCCTGTACTACCATCACCTCAGCCGAAACAACATGCCAAAGGGAAAGGGCAAGGAAGGAAAGGAAAGTCGAAGAGCCGAAGCGCCAGTCCTCGTGAAAAGAAGAAGATTCCTTGTCACTTCCACTTCATCAAGAAATCTTGCAAGAAAGGGAAGGATTGTGAGTACAGTCACGATCAGAAGACCTTTGATGCAAGCAAGAGTGGTGGGCATGGTAAAGGAGGTGGTAAGACGCCAAGAGGACAGTCTCCAGCTAACAAGACCAAGAAGATCGATGAACCATGCTGGCACTGGGCAAAGGGCAAATGTCGATATGGTGACAAGTGCAACAAGCGACATGATGCTCACTTGTTCAACACAGCACCAAACACTGAGTCTCCATCATCAAAAGCGGCCCCTGCACTTCTTCATGACGACAGCGATGTGGATGAACCACCTTTCATGATTGCGTCCAATGTGATGAAGAAGAAGGTCAAGTTTAGCCCACAGAAAGATGAAGTCCATGTTTATGTGTTTATGAGAAGAAGGACTACGTGAAGAGTTCGCGCAAGTCCCAAACTTATTCCAAAGGGCATAATAAGGTGGGTAGGACCACGGATGAAATCAGAAAAGATGAACAATGGGCTTATTCTTGTAGACTTGCTCGAAGTCGTGGGAAGGCAATGGCTATTATTTTGGATGAGAAGTATGACTACAGTGACATTGATGAAGTCCTTATCATCGTTGGCCCAACGTTGGACATTATGATCAGAATTGAGTATGAAGATGATGACGTGACACGTGAAGTGTTCGCGGAAAACTATGTCCAGCACATTGATGGGCGCTACGGGAAAAGGGACAACATCATGTGCATCACTGTCCCAGTTGAAGAGAGAGACAAGAGGTTCATTATGGACTCAGGAAGCGGACACGATCTGATATCCGCCAAGAAGATTGACAGAATGGATCTGCCGACCTATGACGACACGGTGGTGAATTTTCACACTGCCAATGGTGTCACAAGTTCAACCAAACGGTCTGACATCAAG